AAAAAAAAAAAAAAACTGAAAAGAAAGAGGCTTGTATTATCACTCATTGCCTCTGGGATCGTGACTAATTTTTGCTTCTTCACATTTTGCTACACTTTTCAGATCATCTACAGATAGGATATATTACTTGCAGAGTCAGAACAAAGAAACAAGAAACTTACATATGTGTATTATAGATGACTCTGATATGCCAAGGAGTCAGACCCTGCCAGTTTCTAATTAAAGATCCCGGAAGCTTGGTTCTGTGCAGTAGAACACAAGCGTATTAATGTCTGTACAGTCATGTGTCATTTAACAAAGGGACGTGTCAGGAGACTTGAGGTTAAGTGGGTGGCTTGTGGACATCAGCTTGTACTCTCCCTGTCTGAACTGGTGCAGCCTGGAGGCAGAGTGGTGCAGCCTATTGCTTCAAGGCTACAAACCTGTACAGCGTTCTATTGTATGGAATGCTGTAGGTGATGATGAAGCAATCGTATCTGTGTTATCTAAGCATAGAAAAGGCACTGTAAAAATACAGAGTAAAACTTTTAAACAATAGTGCACCTGGGCCGGGAATGAAGCTCATGGCATTGCCACCTGCCTCACAGGAGCAAGTCCCTGAGTTCGATCCCTACACCAAAAACAGAGCAAACAACGGTGCAGCTGTAAGGCGCTTACCATGAATGCAGCTTGCAGAACTGGAGGTTGTTCTAGGCCATTGAGTGGTGAGTGAATGTGAAGGCCTGAGGTTATTATAAACCACCGTAGACTTTATAAAAACACTGTACACTTAGGCCACATTAAATTTATAAAAAACAATTCTTCAGTAATAAATTAACCTTAGCTTACTATAATCTTTTTACTATATAAACTTTTAATTTTTTAACTTTTTGACTCTCGTAATAATACTTAGTTTAAAGTACAAATATGCTGTACAGCTGTATGAAATACAAGCTTTTTTCTGTTATGAATTTTTTTTATTTCGCAAACTTTTTTTGCTAAGAACTAATATAGAAACACATCCGTCAAGGTCTCTGTGGGCCACTGTCTTTTGTTTCCACATTTTGCGCCCCTCGAGGCTGCCGTTGTCCCCTTTGACAGGGGTGCCTTCCTCTGGAATCTCCTGTCCGGCCTGCCTGGGCTCTAGGTGGGGAGTTAGCATTCTTTTGAGAAACATGTCTGTGGTGATTTTCTTTTTCTCATAATAGATTTGTGTGTGAACATACAGTGTGTCCTGAGCATTCTTCTCTATTAACGAAAGCCACTGGGTGTTTGGGGTCCATGTTGTCAGCATTTTAAGAGCTTGTTGAGATCTGCAAAAGATTCTGTGAAACTTTAAACTTTGAATCTTCTTGGGCTTTCTTCTCCTCCTGTGGTTTCTTTTTCTCTTGCCTCTGCTTCAGATTGGTGTTCACCAGATAATAAAAGTTTTCGGCACCTTTATAATCTGTGGGACCACCGTGGCATATGTGGTCCGTTGTTGACTGAAAGATTGTTTTGCAGCACAAGTGACGTTTGGATTGCTGGGCTGTGCAGCTGTGGATCCCCTACCTGTGGGGGGTGTGGTCACCAATGGTAAAGTTGTTTTTCCACTTTAAGTGGCAGAAGGGGCTTACCAGTGTGGCTGTTATTGCCATGTGGTTCTTTGACTTTGTCCCTCACATATATATTTTGTGGGCAATCTATAAGATATTTCTGTCACCCATCATTGCGCAGTTGTACAATCATTGTACATCGGCTGTACAGTGGAAATGGACTTACAGGGTGGTGGGGACTGCAGAGGGGTAACTTCAGAATTTCCTCTGTATCTCTGTATGGTTCAGTGGTGAATGCAGACTGAACACGTGCCCATGGTGTGATCGGCATTTAGGGTGGCTCGCTGACTCCTGAAGCTCTTCATGTGGTTTTGAATAGTACTTGCAGTTGGGGAGTTCCTTTAAACCATAACATGTTATAGTTAGTTGGAAAAATTACATGGAAGTCTTGTTTTTTGGAATGAGGAGACTGCTTTGTCACATTTTAAAGTGTGATCTCAGGGATAGTACTTTTAACCTTTGTTATCTTTGTCTGTAAAATGGGGATACTAATAATATTTTCTTTTAGAATAGTTGTGAACTATATGAACATATTCTGTAAATCCATATACATTTCATTTACGAGTTAAGCTATTCTTGCCAAACTACCTAAATTAGAATGGAGGTGATTTGGATCAGGTTCCTGAGTTCATAGCTTAGAGCCAAATTACATTTGTCCATTCTACTAGGAAGGGGGGATGTCAAAGATGTATGGTTTTAATCTTATTTTTGTGAGAGGCTGTGCCTGCTGTAACCCCCATAGCTTCCATTAAAAAAAAAGTTGAAAATAGTTCATTTTCTGTTCCTAATTACTTGGCAGAAATTTTGGAATAGGGAGAGAGAAACTAGTAACAGCCAACCTTTCCTTTGTACTTACAGATCAGCAAAAGGGATTCTTGGGTCCTAGAGACCAAAGAAAGAATCAGCGGGAGTACCCAGGGTGAACTGATGGATTACGGAGCCTGGCTGGTAATTATTTTCTCTGAGCTAAAATGTTAACTTAATACATGGGAGGTGGCCAGAGAAACTTAGGATCTGGGGACCCCACACACAGCATCCCACACTTTTATTTGGGAGGCAGCTTTTCCGGGGGTGGGGGTGTACCTGCTTTCCTTCCTGAGGCTTGTCAGGTATTTTTATGACTCACCCTGGTAGACTAGAGTTGTTTCTTTAGTTTCAGTTGTTGAACAGATATATGAGTTTTTAGGTTAGCCAGCTTTCTGGGGTGGCAAGAAACAAGTTTCTCAACAGTTTAAAGTTAAATACCAGCTATGAACAGGCTTTAGCATCTTGTGGTTCAAATATCTGATTTAGCTTTTATCTATTGATTTTTATTTTGGTGGTGCTGGGGATTGAATTTAGGGCCTTCTACATGCTTCACAAGTGCTCTACCACTGAGCTACATCCCTATCCCTCAAGCTTTAACTTTAGGACTTTTATGAGATTCTGACCAGATGCATACCTAGTCTCAGACCAGGTGATATTGTTGTCTTAGAAGACCAAGGGGATTTCACTGTAAATGCTAACATATGTTGATTATTAGTAACTTCCTGTGTTCTGTGCTGGGAAGGATTGTGAAACCACAGTGAAACCCAGTGACATGATGATGGAGCGATACGTGTTTTCCGTGGGCTGAGAGAGCCATGTACATATTTTTGGGTGTATGTCGCATCCACAGTGCCTGAGAGCTCATTTCATCTACCACATTCTCAGTTTCTGCCCTTCTGTTATACAGCAGAGAAGTTGAATTTCTTGGAAGAAGCAACTATTTCCAGCTTATTAGAGCCAAGAATGGACTTGAACTCAAGTTCAAGTTTTCTGTGCTCAAATGGCTTGTTAAGTGATAGGAATAATAATAGTTACTTAAGAGATTTTAGAGATGGTTACGTCCAAAAATCTATATTAAAGATTAGGACTAGTGATGACACCAAAACAACTTAAAAACAGAAAGCTGCCATTGTCATTAAGAGCTTTTTTTTTTTTTTTGGATCATACTCGGGCCCTTGGTGCTAACGAAGTGAGCTGCGGAACCACTGAGCTAAATCCCTGGCCTCAGAGCATTTTGTTTTTATTCTTCCTATCCTATTCATTACCACCACATTTGGGTCAGGTCTTTATTGTTTGCCACGTTGTCAAAGCCCATTTTTTAAAAAACAAATTAAAGCAAGTGCTCAAATTATGACTGTATTTCAAGAAAATGTGATGATGTTTGACACTTTTGACCTCCAAAGAGATGCATGAAAGGCATTAATTGAAGGTAATTGAACGGTAATTAACAATCCTAATTTTGGATTTCCTTCTGTGTATGTGTTTATGAGTTAGCTATATTTCTAACATAGATTTTTCAAGTGCAAGGTTAGTCTGGTACCTTCTCTTCAAAGAGCACACATTGTATGGAATCATGATTCATTGTTGAGTGTTTTCCTAAACTTTCTTGTTTCCTTAAACATCTACATCGAATATATACTATTGTGAGTTTTTTTTTGTTTTGTTTTTTAGTACCTGGGATCGAACTCGGGTCCTTGTGCTTGTGAGGCAGGCGGCAGCACCCCTGAGCTAAATCCTCGGCCCACTATTGTGAGCTTTTAAGCATCCTAGGCTTATTAGAAGAAGGCTTTAAATTGGAAGGTTTTAGGTATAAAATACATTATGATGTCATTATCTGAAAGTTCAGACTTTTATGAAATTTTTATTGACCTGAGAATTTACTGATGATATATTAATTGATAAGAATTGGACTTACAGCTATATTTAGTAAAGTAAGGAGAAAAAAATTAATCAGCTGTGCCATGGACAGGACCGAGTGGTTAATGCCACTTTTTGCTGTCCTGGTTTCCCCTCTGGCAGCTCGATGGAGAAAGCTCAGGCTCTGGAGTCATACTGGTCTCGGGATTTGCCCTAATCTCTTCATTGAGGAACTTCATGATTGCATACATTGTCTTTCTGTGCCTCAACTCTCACAAAATTGAGATGCTGTCTCCTTTGCAGCATTCCCTGATTGTGTGTGTGTGTTACTGGGAATTGAACCTAGACCCTTCCGATTGACTTACACCCCTAACCCTTAAAACGTGAAAAATCAGAGATCGAGTCTTTGCTCAGTTTCCCAATTGGACAGAAAGTTCCACCATCCTGCCTGCCCTGCCTGCCACGCAGGGTCAGAGGTGTGAGCCACCACACCTGGCCTTGCAGCCCTCCCAGTCCTGCAGGTGACTTGCTCTTAGGGACTCTCAGTAAATGTTAGTTCATTTTCTCCTCCTAGTGCAACTTTTACCTCCCGACCCTCTGCCCTGACATTTCACAAGGATCAGTTCGAGGAATAAAGGAACTTGGAAGGTTTTAGTTCCTACTAACATTTTCAGGGATTTGCCTTTTAAATTGTCTCTTTACTGTAAAAGTTGTTCTTAAAAAAAATCCCACACTGTTGCAAGTTGAGCGCCTGACAGTTAGGAAGTGTCCAAGGGTCCTCCTTCCTAGGGCGAGAAAGCCAGGCAAACCAAATCATGTCCCCACCGGAGTGCGGCGCCAACTCGCCTCCCCCAGGATCTGCCCGGAAGGTGGGGTACTGGCATCGCATCCCCTTCCTGTTGGCCCAATCAGAGGTGTGGAGATGTGGAGAGACTTAGGCTAAGCTCGGGTTTACAGTTGTACGGCTGTCTGGCCTTGCTTGAGCATTGCCTCCCTTCCAGGGCTCCTGTAATTGTCATCAAATGGCTTGGTCTCCCAAATGTTTCCGGTACTGCAGTGACTTCTGGAGTATGTTGTTTAAAAAAAAACAGAATAGTGTAGTAGTCGTTAACTTGTTTGTGATTGCTCTGTTGTGTAGATGTGTGCAGGTCAGCTGTCTCCAGAGTGCAGAAAAAGCAGTTGGATGTGGAGTCTTCCTATCTTCTCATGAGCCTTCCTCTTCCTTTGCTGGTTCTTTTCTACCTGCATTGCCTTCAAGGACCTCCCTTCCCCAAGAAAAAGAAGTGAGGAAAGATGTAGGTGACGTTTCCATTTTCGCTCATCAGCCTCCCTTTTATCTATGTCATTTCTGAGGACCTTTATGGGGCATATCATCTTTCATTCATCAGCTGAAGGCCTCAGGAGGTTCAGATTGGATTGGATGGTGGGTCGACCCTGTGAGAATGGTTCAGTCTTAGGGAACCCCTCTGCATGGAGGAACAGGGCAGCTGAGATGGACCCCAAGTCCCACCGGATAATATTTGAATGCCGGAAAATGACACCATTAATCTGCTAAAGAGGAGTTGTGGTAGAAGAACACCTCAGAGCACAGGGGTTGCAAAGATGGGTATGTTCCTGGGGGGGTGTGTGATCGAATTTTATCTTAAAGAGTGGAACTCCTCTGTAAACTTGAATTCATACTTTAAAACGGGAAGAGACTAATGATTCCGATTTTAGGATGAGTACTGTCTATAAAATTAAGCTGTAGAAGGCGTGGCCTGTGCTCTCAAAGAGGGAGTTCTGTGTCTCCCAGGCTCTTTGAATTTTCCTTTACCAAAACTCTGTAACCAAAAGCACAAGGACAGGAAACTATCTTACATGCTTTTTCCCCCTTCTAACACATAACTTGACCTGAAACTGCTTTTCAAGGAGGGGGAAAATTGCCTAAATGAGAAAGGACGCTTCAAGAAAAGGAGTGATTGACAGGTCTGACCCTGCGTCCTCCTTCCCCTCGCCAGCCACCTATGCACAAAGCTGAGACCACTCAGAGATGTAAGGCTGGATGCGATTGCTCAGCTAGATCATATTGGAAAGTGTGAAACTGAGGAGAATTTACTGTTTGTTCTGATTCACATGTTGGCTGAGAGATAGCACTTTTCAGAGGCTGCTTTGTGTTCCTCACTCTTACTCACCTATTAAAATAGTTCATTACCTTGTGGTGCCCCTGCCTGCCTCATGGTATTCTGTTAACATCGCTACTCTAGATAGCGATATTGACTGTTGTGCTTCTTTGCATCCAGCAGCCATTTTGTGGTTGTCATGTGGTTCTTTAAGAATAATTGAGGGTAAGGACTGATGTCTACACTAAAAATGCTCATGTCTACCCCACCCCTCCTTTTCTAGGGGGCTGGGCATGGGGAAGACCTTCGTCTCAGCAGGTCACAGAGGAACTGTCTCATGGTTACTCTGAGAAATTCCACCGTGGCAGATGCATTCCCCTTAGCCGTGATTGGTCCTTCGACTTGGCATGTGACAAGGGTCCTGACCAGTAATTTGTGAGAGGAGGTCTGCTGGGAATAATTTGTAAGATGAAAGTTTTCCATCTTGAATGAAAAACGAGTGGCCATTTGGGCTGTGGCTGTGGAGCTGAGGGGCAGAGCCGCAGCCTGACACCACGAAGTGACCCTGCCAGTAACAAAGGCAGAGCTGCAGTCTCTGATGCCTCACAGTGGTTCCACCGCTGATTTCCTGTTCTGCAGTCTGAGTCATACAACCCACTGTAGATCAGCTGAAGAGTTTTCTGTTTAAAGGTGTGAAATGCGGGCCTGGTGATGTAAGTCAGTGGTAAAGTACCTCTCCAGCATGTGCAAGGCCTTGGGATTCAATCCCCAGCCCTGCCGTAAATGAACAAATGGAGGATATGAAAGGCGATTCCTTTTCAGTGGAATAGAAAACTGAAACTGAGCTTTCAGAAAGTGAGTACCCACAGGCCAGTCTTGTGTCTCCCTGACCGTCTTGTTTTCATTGCTGGTGTTACTTTGGAGAAAAGTGTGTGTGTGGGTGCGGGGGAAGACACATTCATTATTTCGTTTGTTGCGTTTTTTTTGGTTCTGTTGTGTATAAATTGGGTACTCTGCTCAAGCAACTTATTTTTGATTGGAATTGTTCTGATTGAATAGGTTAAAGAAGAGTGTAAAGTATTGAGGAATAATCTGAAAAACTATGGTAGTGTTAGAGCAGTCGATGCATTTTCACCGTGAAGCAGCCTGTAGGCCCATCAGGCTTGTTTTGTGTCTGACTTTGTT